TGATTCCAATTTAAATGATATTTTATAACCATAGACAATACACATATACTTTTTCGTATTTTCTTTATATGTGATTTACATATACCATACAAAAATCGAGAGACTCGATTCAAATCTTTGACTCAAACTTGAAAATCAATCTACTGATTACTAAAAATTTCAAGTTTTTCGAGTTGTGTTTTACAACTTGATTTAAACTTGAAATTTTTTCGAGTCGAGTCGAGTAAAAAAATTGATTTTTCGAGTCGAGTCGAGTTTTGATCACCCCTAATATCAATACTCCTACTTGGGTATCGATACTCAACAACAAATTTTAGCTAAAAAATTAAGGGGTAGTATCGATACTCTCATCCCAGTATAGATACTCCCAAGCTGTAGTATCGATACTGACCAGGGTATCGATACCAAAACAATATTCTGAAATTTGATTTGTGGTCCTGGTATCGATACCACCCCGTTGGTATCGATATTGATATCGATACCAGCCCTGCAGTATTGATACTCCATTGATGAGTATCGATACTCCCTTTTAAACTTAGGCAAATTTTACACTGAATGAAGAATATTATCGGTACTGTTCTTATAATATCGATACCCCTGCTCGAAAATGCCCTACTTGGGCTCAAAATGTGCACTCAAACTCACCTAAACTATTATATTAAGGTTCTCAATCATTATTAGTGTTTTATGTGATATTAAGGGGTCATAAATAGGGCTTTGAAACATGTTATAACACTAAAATATATAATCTGCCATGAAAACAACTCAACATGCTTCAAACTCAACTCTTAATCTAGAATGCATTTACAGTGACCCACAATTGGAATGAAGAAGTTTTGAATGTGTTACCTTGATTTCTTGATCATTATAAATGCCCTCAAATCACTCAAGAGGCAATTTCTCTTTTTCCCTTACTCTTGAGCTTTCTCCGCTTCTTTCTTAATCAAAGGTAAGAAAAGGAGTTACTAACTCAACTAGTTGGTTGGATTAAAGTTAAAAACACTTCCTATAACTTGAATCCACTAAAAACGAGCTAGAATTCATATATTCTCTTAAACATCTCTAAAACTAAGTATAAAATTTGGGAAAATGGAACTTAAATTGAAGCTTGAAGGATGGGGATTAATATTCTTACCTTGGTTTAACGAAACTAAACTTAAAATCCTTATACCTTCACATTGGAAAGAAAGAAGAAGAGATAATAGATGAAATGAAGAGGAATAGTGTTTGATGAGTGTTTTGAGGGAGTGGTTACGTTAAAATCATATAATAGGGAAGGGGGTTTTAGCTTTCTAAATAACAAGGGGTAAAATGCACTTTTAGTCCCTCTGCTTTCTATTTCAACTTAATTCACCACTATCACTTGGGCCCAACTCAAACCCACTCTCACTTAATTAAGTCCAAACTATTCTAATGGGTCATTTGGCTCAATTTATGGGTCTCAGGTTGACCCGAACTACTAACCCAGGATTTGAGGCGTTACATTTCTAATTAATAATTTTCCCTTCTTATTTGAATGGTTTTTTTAAAATTTATTTTGAATAAACTATATGAACAATTAATAAATTGTGCTAAAATAATTTTTTGGTTACCCAAGTTTTAAAAATTATGAAATGATTATTAAACTTATTTAGTTATTATAAAATGGTCATATTGCATATTATAAAATAGTGATGATTTTTGAAAATTTAAAGATAATTGTGTAATAGTTTAATGAGATTAGTGATCATTTTATAATAATTTGATAATATTTTTATAATTTTTTGAGAAATTTAATAATTATTTTATAACTTTCAAAATTTCAATAATAAAAATATTATTTTAATATGAAGATTTTCTTTTTTTTTTTCTCCAACCTAAGTTTTCTCTTAATACTTTTGTTCTTTTTTTCTCTCTTTTTCTTTGATTTTGGTTTAGTCGGCGATGATACTAATCTTAATATTAGTTGTCAACCGTCGGTGATTATTATTTTTCTTGTTCTTCTTCGTACTATGTCCTTTGTTTTTCTTGAGTTTTTTCAATTTTGAATAAGAATCTATGTCCTTGTGACACATTTTTTTCTCTGTTACAGTGACACTTTCCTTATGGCTTTTGGTACGTTTTTCGTATACCTCTGCGGTTATGTTGGTGCTCGAACAAAAATCTTTACAGCATTTGTTTTTTTATTGGTTTGTCGGGAGTCATGTATTGTCAGATCTACTCTTTGGTAAAAGGTTGTTTGTCAATATGATCAAAATTGTGTAGCGAAACAGTATGCCAAATTGTTTGGTTCGCTCGCTACTCCTTTATCACTTCTCAAATTATCTCGTTTGATAAAGACAAGAAGTTTTATGAGGTTACTGAGTTCTTTTGATGTTAGATGCCATTTTCAGTGGAAAGTTTTATTTTTCTTCGTATCTTTGAGTTTAATATTTTTATTTTAGAGTTTTTTGGTGACTATTGTCCCCAATTTTCTCTTTACTTGCGTTGTAATATTGATTCCTTCAATTAAATTAAAAAATACACACAAAAATACTGTTGTAAACAAGCACACACAAACGTGTCGTTAAAATGAAAAATATGTATAGTGGTATATAAGGCCCTCAAATTTTTTTTTTAAAACTAGTGTAGCCCTTAAATTAGAAAAAAAATCAATCTAAACTTTGACTAACGGAATCAAACGTTGACCGTCAAGACGTTTATATGATAATTTACAAAGCTTACATGACAATTTACAATATTAATATGATAGTTCATGATACTGTTGTGGTAGTACATGATGGACGATGATGCGGCGAAAGATGGGCTTAATTGATTTTTTGGATAAGATTGACGGCCCAGTTGATTCTTTTAGAAAGTTGAAGGATTTAATATTTTTTTAAAAAAAAGTTAAAAAATTAAAAAATATAAATAATTATTAAGATATTTAATACATTAAATATAAAAGTACTAAAAAGTAAGTTCTTAAAAAATTAGTGTAAGGACTAAATTAAAAATGTTGAAAATATATTTTTTATGTTTTTATATTTTCACTTATTTTTATTTTTATTTTCAAAATAATTTTAATGAAAATGTTGAAAATATATTTATTATGTTTTCACATTTTCACTTATTTTTATTTTTCAGAAATTATTTTTTAATTTTACAACCAGACACTATTTTTTCGACACTTACTACTTTTAAAAAAATTGAAAATGAAAATAACATGTATTTTTTAGAATCAAACGGACCCTCAGGGACATCCAACCTACCCTAGGATCCCTCGCTGGATACAATATCATAGTATTTGTGGCCTCAAAATTGTTTTGAAATGCTATTAATTTTGGCAGGGAAAACAAAAGGTGTTGCCTCTAAGAATTTCTTGAAGAATAAAGAATATATATATATATATATATATATATATATATATATATATATGCTTTGAATAATAAAAAAACAATTAAATTAAATATTTTGAAAACGAAAAGGCAATGTGGATGGAATGATAATCCAAAGCGTAGTAAACATGTAAAGCCTGTCCACATCGATGGTTGGTTGGCAACGGACAGTTTCATGCTTCATCTTATTTTATTTTTCATGTGTTGCACAATCATACGTGCAGATAAAAGCAATTTAGATGAACCATAAATCATTAATAATTTGGACCTTGATGTACTCACCAAACAATTTAGTAACTTTGCACATCAACTACCATTTACATCTTGTGATACTGATTGTGATTTCCAATTTGGAATCACAAAGTGCCCCTTACATTACTGCCCATATAAATTTGGCCAAAAGCATAAGAGGTCCATGTGCTTTTTAGAAAAAAAATCAATATGAAACTCGTATTATTTTTTCTCCCTCAACGTGACCCTCTAATTTAGAAAATAAGCTCAATGTAGTCATTTGACCAACATTTTTTGTCGTTGACCGTTACGATGCTGACGTGACGGTCCATAGTGTTGACATGGTAGTACACGGTGGTTGATAACATGGAGAATAACATGACAGATGAGCTAAATTGATAACTCATACATGGCAGATAGATTTTCACGTTAGCACCATGGACCGTCACGTCAACACTGTAACGGTCAAACGACGAAAAACGTTGGTCAAATGATCACATTGAGTTTGTTTTTTGAGTTGGAGGGTCAAATTGAATGAAAAAATAATACGAGTGCCACATTATTTTTTTCGAAAGTACAGGGATCTCTAACACTTTTTTGCCTCTAAATTTATAATCACATTGTATAGTTTAATTTAGAAAACATTGTAAAATTTTAAAAATATCAATTTCTTCGGTTATAGAAAGTAGTGAAAACCAGCAAAACAAGATATGTTGTGTTTACCAAGTTGATACAACTTGGTAACCCCACATATAGTTTTTAGCATAAAATAAGTTCGAAGCAAGAATAGGATAAGGCTGATGGCAGTTTGTTTTGCCCGATCATTTCGTTCATCACAAGGCACACAAACATCTTAAATCAATCATCTTTTCATGCAGAAATTCAAGGGATGTTGAATGTGAAACCCAATTTTTAGGGAGGTTATTTGAGTCAGTCCATGTTAAAATGTCTGGTTTATGTTCCCATCATTCTTGAAGCTGAAACAGAGAGAGTAAAACGCAGAAAATATTCCTTAAAGGTACGGTAGTAAATAGTTTTGCAGAAAAGGTGGAAAATGAGAAACAGGACATGTTATCAGAACCGAACACCTTTGGTACTTGCAGAGTCCAGTGGCCAGTGTTTGGTCCACAGGATAACCCAACCAAATCCCAGAAAAGAAAAATGCTTCAGTGTTGTGGTTGTTTTTTTGTTTGTTCTGACGTGGGATTCACTGGAAATGAAACTTGGATCGATGTCTGCTATCTGACTCCTCGACAATGGCAGCTAATAGCCATTACCGGAGATAAAAACTTGTAATAATTTGCAGTGATTTTGTAATGAGTTGCGGACAATTCAAGAAATGGAGTGTGGGTCAGAGACAATGAAGAATAGAAAGAATACCAAACATTCGCGATTCATCCATGAATGAAGCAATATTAGAAACTACAGTAAAAAGTTGCATAAAAAACATTGAATATAGAGCATCAGATCCACGTGAATTTGGATCCCATAACAGCTACGCATCTGAAACCACACTGAACTCATCGTCTTCCAATGGAGCCGGCAAGTTTAGATCTATCAAATTGTTGTCAAATTTGCCAGAATTTGCAGCGGCGGCAGCGAGCAAATGGGATCTTTTGTGACCGCCCAGTGCTTGTCCTGAACCGAACACTCTACAGCACAATGGGCACTCGAATATAGCAGCAGCTTTATCTGTTTTCTTAGTTTCAGAGCAAACCCTTTTGTGTTCATCCAATGTGTAATAAGATCGAAACGTTTTCTTACATTTCTCACATCGATGTTTCCCACGAATCTTCTTCTTGTTCAACTCCTGAACGGATTTTTGTTCCACGGTTTTGCTTCTCCAGACATCTCTCGACAGCATCATAAGAGACATGGCGACGTGTTCTTCCGGTGAAGTATCGGAAACCGAGCTCAACGGTTCTGGCTCAGTCGGTGATTCGACCAAACTGGGTTTCATCAACAGCTTTCGACATCTCTTGGATCGTCTCCGAGTTGGGTTTCCTGACTCGGTCTCGCTTTCTATATATTGAACAACGGACCCAGAATCGTGTGCAAACGAGAATTCAGGATCTGCGAACCTGAAACTCTTCTTGGGATTCTCTCTTAACCCGTAAACCAAACATTTCTCTTCGAGAACTCCCATTTTCTCTTCTCCGAGTTCTTGCTCCTCACCCGATGAAGACGGTGACGAAGAAGCTGAGTCGGAGCGGTCACCGTGCTGGTGCTGGTGAGTCGTCTTACGAGGCAGTGGATGAGTGGCTAAGTGACCTTTCATGTGACCTCCTAAAGCTCTGCCATTAGAGAATGTTCGAGCACAGAGCTTGCATTTGTGCTTCTCCATTATCGCAGAACTGAAGCAAACCAAAGATCAAAGTACCCAGCTTTTTTCACTCTCACCAAAAAGCATGAAAAAACAATAAAAAGAAAAGACTGGGAATTTAAATGAAGTAGGTGACAAGCATTCATCCACCAAATGACACACAATCCAACCCAAAGTTATGATTTTCATTTTATTATCTTAAATAAACTAAATAAATATATATAATTTTTTTATTAATAAGACAGTAACATTGTTAGCATATTTATTTAAAATTTCGAAAATAAAAATTATAATTTATGTTCATTGCCACTAGTCCATTTTGCTGGCTAATTCGTCTAATTTATGAGAATCAACAGCCCCCTTAACCTTATGGTTATCGTTTATTGCGGTTCTCTTCTCTTTGATTATCCTTCTTGCGTTTTAGCCACTTTGTACACACAGATGAAGCAAAAATTATTGGAATTGTTGCAGCGCCAGCCACCGGTAACTTCCATTAATCCATCATAAAACCACATGCCAACTTAAGTGCCAAACCATCCACCTCATACCACAATTATAAAATAAAGCTTCTTAAGTGGATTCATTTTATATATTTTTTAAATTATAGTTAGTGTAAGATTGAAAGCTGAAATAAGTTTAATTTTTTTTCCATTTTTAAATTAAATTTTATATTATTTTTTTCATATTTATAATTTAAAAAATTAAATTTTTTAAAAATTCTTTCAATTAGATAGTGACATGTGTCATGATACATTCATTATACATGTCTTCGGTGACATATCTAAAGAAACTAATGAATTAAATTAAAACTAAAATTAACTTAATAGAATATATAAGTAATGAAAACCAAATATATAATTATATCATTTTTTGAACTATCATATCTATTCTTCCGTCAAATAGTAGAACCAAACTTATTGGAAAATTTTTGATGAGCTGAACAAAAGAAATGAAGAAAATGAGTAGTTCGATAATCTTTCGATTAAAGGAATCAATGAACAATTAATGATAGAAACGATGATGAAAGAAATAATATTTACTAAATTTTCTAAAGAAAATTCAATATATTATACCAATATAATTAATAATTTAATGATCAAATGATCGAAATGAAAAAAAAAATTCAACAATAACTCTAATAAAATTTTAAATTTTAGTGAAAACACCTAAATGAGTGTTTTCTTGCAATACAGAAAGCGGTAAACGAAAAGAAAGACGAGTGTGAAACCGCAATTAATGGAGCAAAAGCGAGCAAAGGATAGCATTAAGGGCAGACAAATGAAGCAAAGAATCTTATATTAGCTGCCTTGATCACTTGCTTTTATTGATGTCTGCTTCGCTTATCATTCTTTACCTATCATAAACGGGCACGAACGAATGTAAGAATTTATGTTATGTGAACATATCTTTAAAAAATTATATTAAAAAGTTAAACGTTACGAAATTATAAGAGATTATGTTATATCGAATTAAATTATTAATATAAATTATAAAGAAAGTATTTAAACTACGTGAATTTATGAAACTGTTGTGCAATGCCATTACTCTAAAATCCCATTTGATTTGCTGCACTAAAAAAATATGTCAACACATTTCTCTTTTACTCGATACAAGATTTCATCTGCCCTGCTCTTCCTCTCAATTCTCTTTTACCCAACCTAATCTCTTATCATCTCTAATATACAGTCTGGACTCAGAATACCATACATAAATATACTGGTACATTGAGTTTCTGCAAGAAAAAAAAACAGTTGAAATATAAGAACATTTACGTTCATAGTGAGAGCTTCCATCACACTTCATATGGCCTGCGTCGATCATGCATGTTAAGGAACTTCATTTTTGTTGATCTTCGTATAGGAAGTTGATGGCTCTTTAGCCCAATAGTGGTTAACATTTAATTCGCCTTCCCCGGCCAAGTAAACTTCTTTCCCTTTAGCCCATAAGACGGAGTAGAGGCCGACGAACATGAGGAACATTCCGGCAAGGCTGTATCAAGAGATGGATTCATAGAATGCTTAACATTTTTCGATTTCGAACTTGGAAGCAAATTGGTAAATCTGTATGCATGTATGGTTTACCTTCCTAATGAAATGGCTTGTCCTATTGTAATGAAAGACAGAACTACTGTAATGACTGTTCCAATGGGGCAAAACATTGACACCAGCACTGGTCCCCTCTTCTTCATTGCCCATCCGTTGAAGCTTACACAGATTCCGGCTCCTCCCTGCGCATCCGAATATGAACGAATAGATCGGTAAAAAAAATGATGTGCGTTACTGTTTCGAATCTTCCGATATGCATCTAAATTCTGAAGCGTGTTCTGTTTCTGCCTACTACAAGTTTGGATATCAAAACTTGGCATCATGGTTTGTCACTTGCAACTTCATAGTAGTTTGGAGCTAGGGAATTTAGTGTTAACTAACTTATATTTCATAAAAGATCACAGTACATGAGATTCGCGTATCAAAAGCCAAGTAGGTTCCAAGCACTAACAAGAGGCCAACCCCATTCGAAATCTTGATTTTCGAACAACTGCACCAGTGAAGTTATAATCACTCCGATCAAGGACGTTATTGCACACAAGGACATCGGAGCAGGAAAATTTCCCAAGGTCGTCGCCTGTAAAACACGATATCTTAGTGGAAAAAAGAAGACAATTAAAAGCACAGATTCAACCTCCTATACTTGTTCCCCATTTTTTTTCAAGAACACCTGCAATACTACAATGCTTGATAGAACCAGGACTGCTGCCATGAGGTACATGCAACCGATCATCATATTTTTGTTGAAGATGTCGTTATAAATGGCAACAGAATCCATCACCGCATCTCCCGACGAGACGGTGCTCTGGATTACACTCGTTGTAATGGCACCTATGACACATAAGAATGTGCCTGCAATCTTAACTTTACTGTATATGCATCATATAGCAACTTTTTCTAACCTGCATCAGCATTGCCAAAATTCATCCCTGGGTTTCCATTACTAATGTGATCATGAAAAAATGAAATGAATATAGTACCTGAAGGCCCAAGCAATTATAAAGATAAGCCCAGGAGCGAGGTTTGGCATTGCTGTTGCCACTGCTGGTGAAGTTAGATCAATCCCTTTGAGGAATAGGTATTGAACAAGGTTATTCTGAAACAAAGATTATCAATAACATGATTGAAAAATGGATTGTTAACATCATTTCTAAATATTAAAAAAAAGAATGTAAAATGAAAATTAACCTTACCTTCCAAAGGAGATTAAAACAAGATGAATTATGAACTTCAAGGTTAATTGGTCCGGCCATCGGCTCCTGCGAAATGAATGGATGTGAATGATGATGCCTTCAAAATGTTTTCATGGCTAAGAAACTCGAAAGAAAGAAGATGAAAGGAATTACCTTTTGAAATAAAAAGGCAAAAGGGGAGAGAATGATGAAGGTGGCAAGGGTGAAGTAAATAACAATGGTGAAAGGGCTAAGGCCAAGGGACATGAGATAAGCAAGTAAAACAGAGTTGCCTGCATAAACAAATTGCACCCCCACCAATCCTCCTATTATGGCCACATCTTCAAGCATAAGTTTTTTCAAGTACACCACCATCTTTACTTTCCTCCCCCACTTTCTTTCCTTCCAAACAGGGAACAAAAAAAAGAAAAAGGTATATACACCCAGCACCTTTATGTTTATTTGTTGTTCAAAATGTTTGTTTCTGATTTTCTATATCAAATCACCTGAGCTTCTTTGTTTGTTTTTGGCTTGGGGTTATGTAATGGCAACTGTAAGGTATGGCTCATAAATATACCGGTAAAGAGGACAGGGGATGGAGCGGAGTGAGCGAAGCGAACGAGGACTTAAGCACATTGCCGAACCTCGTTAAAATTCTTGTGTTCTTTCGTTTACGTTGCCCGATTTATCAACAATTGGTATCATATGTCAGGAGCAAAATTCGAAGTTGTGAAATTCGATGGTCTGGGTAACTTCGGATTATGGCAAACGAGGGTGAAGGATATGTTGGCGCAGCAGGGGATCCTGAAGGCTTTGCGACCTACAAAGCCGGCGTCGATGGAGGAGGAAGATTGGGAAGAATTGCAACAACGAGCGGCAGGAACCATACGATTATGCTTGGCGGACGAGGTTATGTATCACGTCATGCATCTATCGTCTCCAGAAGAAATTTGGAGGAAGTTGGAAAGTCAGTTTATGTCCAAATCCTTAACGACAAAACTGTATCTAAAGCAACGGCTGTATGGGCTGAAGATGCAGGACGATCATGATTTGGCGCAACACGTGAATGTCTTCAATCAAATCGTTTCTGATTTGGCTCGGCTTGATGTAAAAATTGAGGATTAAGGCAGAGCGATGATTTTGTTGTGTTCGTTGCCTCCCTCTTACGAACACATGGTGATTTACTCTTACATATGGGAAAGAAACTATCAACGTTGAGGAGATTACTGCAGCCTTGTTGGCTCACAACCAGTGGAAGCAGAATGCAGGGGAAAACTCTAAAGCCGATAGCTTATATGTCAAGGGTAATCGAGACCGTGGACGGAAGCCAGAGAAAGCAGGGTCTGGCAAGCGGAATTCCAGATCCAAATCTAAGGATAAGAAGACAATTCACTATTACAAGTGCAAGGAGGCGGGACATATGAAGCGAGACTGTCCGAAGTTGAAAAAGCAGACTGATGAGAAGCGTGATGTTTCATCCAAGTCTGTGAACGTGGTCGATGATGACAATTCTGATTGCAGTGAGGGTGATATGCTTTCTATTTCAACGACTCAATTGACGGATGCATGGATTCTTGATTCTGGATGTTCTTATCACATCACGCCAAATAGGGAATGGTTTTCGACATACAGGTCGGTTAATTCTGGTTCTGTTTATTTGGGTGATGATCGATGTTACAATATTGTTGGTATTGGTGATGTCAGAATTAAGATGTATGATGGCTCTGTTCGGACGTTGAGTGGTGTTCGACATATCCCAGATTTGAAGAAGAATTTGATTTCTTTGGGCACTTTGCACAAGAATGGTTTTATCCCTAAGGCTGATGAGGATAGGGAAACCATTCGGATTGTTAAAGGTGCTTTGACTGTGATGAAAGGAAAGATTACTGCAGGAAATATTTATAGATTGTTAGGGAGTACCGTTACAGGTGGAGTTCATTCTGTTGA